CGATTATTTTTCATTCGGATGATCCCATCACTAGTTGGCAGCAATGGGTCGTTGTGTGTGAACATTGAGTCGAGTCAGTCACGCCACAGTCACACCGTCTATAAGTATTTCATGTTATCGTTAAAATTAATAGTCAAATAAAAGTCTTAATACAAACCAGAGTCTGTTATATTAGTCAGTACATAACAGTAAATTGGCGACGAGAAAATCGAATTCCACGTGTCGAGGATTAGAAACAAGTCAAGTAGTTAGTTGAGGTCTCTGAGTGAAACAAAATGGCGATGATAGGGTCTATCGAAAAGTTCAACCCAAAAGAATCTGATATAACGTCATATTTGGAAAGATTGGAACAATTATTTATTTGCAATGCAGTCGAGGCAGATAAAAAGGTAGCAATGCTGTTAACATTATTGGGGGGAGAGGCTTACAATGTTCTAAAAGATCTCCTAGCCCCTGATTTACCAAGTACAAGAACGTATGTGGAATTAAAGAAAGTCTTATCAGATCACTACTCCCCAAAAAGGCTAATAATAGCCGAACGATACAAATTTTACAATGCGATACAAGAAGGAAACGAAGACATCAAAATGTTTGTAGCAAAATTAAAAAACCTCTCGCAATATTGTAGTTTTGGTCAATTCTTGTCAGAGTGCCTAAGGGACAGATTGGTTTGTGGCGTTCGGTCGTATGCTATCAAACGAAAACTATTATCAGAAGACAACCTTACGTTCGAAAGTGCGTATAAAACAGCCCTTGCGATGGAATTAGCTGAAGGTCAAATAAAGTCTATGGGAGGCGAAAACAATGTGTTGTCAGTCGCAGAAGAATTAGATAAATTGTTTGTAAAGAAGAAAGTGTTCAAGAATGAATCGAAGTCCAGTCAGTCAAAAGAAGGAGGAACCCAATGGAGACCTTGTTTCCGTTGTCTAAGGAAACATGATCCAAATAACTGTCCGGCCAAGGATTGGGAATGCTTCAAATGTAAGAAAAAAGGTCACACCAGTCGAGTGTGTAAGAGTCCAAATGTCAATGCAGTCGAGGAAGTCGAAGGTGAGGAGTCCAGTCAGGATGATTCACTAGTATTAGGATTTTTGTCAGTCCTAGGATCCATGAAAGAAGATGCAGAAAAGGCAGTGTTAGATCTGGAAGGTAGGAAGATTTGTTTTGAAGTAGACACAGGTGCATGTCGTACGGTAATGCACATTGACGACTTTAATAAATATTTATCAAATCTAACCCTTTATAATGTAAAGTATGATCTAAGAGTCCTTACAGGGCAAGAAGTTGCTATAATAGGTGAAACTGATGTTGTTGTGAACCATAATAAGGTATTGTTAAGCTTGCCATTGGTAGTCCTTAAATCCAAGTATAAGTTTGCACCGTTAATAGGTCGAAACTGGTTAAAACGTCTGAGTCCCGACTGGAGGGGACACATTAATTTTTCAAAAAAACAGAGTCAAATGACATTCAGCAGGTAAGCCAGTGGCAGTCGGAACAGGTGGGTCGAGATGTGAGTTGCGAAAAATCAATTCAGAAAAAAAAAATAGAAAGCCTAGTACAAAAAGAACAAGTTGTTGCGCAATTAACATTAAACATCGAAAATGATTTCAAAAGTGTCTTTTTAGATCAACCTGAGTCTTACATAAACAAATTTAAAATTGAACTTAAATTAAAAGAGGGAGCACAACCTATCTTTGTTAGAGCGTATGATATGCCCTATGCATTGAAAGATAAAGTTGAAATAGAATTAATAAAAATGGTTAACTCTGGAATATTACATAAAGTAAATTTTAGTAATTGGGCCAGTCCGATAGTGGTTGTTCCAAAAAAGAATTCAAGCGAGTTACGCATTTGTGTGGATTTTAAAAAAACATTAAATCAGGTGTTAGACTCTGATCACTGTGTTTTACCAATTCCAGAAGATATATTTGCATGTCATAGTGGTCAAAAGTTTTTTACGGTTTTAGATTTGAAAGGGGCATATCAACAATTAAAGGTTAGTGAAGAGTCACAAAAATTACTAGTTATTAACACACATTTAGGTCTTTTTACATATACTAGGTTAACGTATGGTATAAGTTCAGCACCAGGCATCTTTCAGGCGGTTATGGACACTATGTTAGCTGGCCAAAAAAATACTAAATGTTATTTGGATGATATCCTTGTGTTTGGATCGTCATTACGTGAGTGTTATGAACATGTACGAGATGTTCTAAAAAGACTTGAAGTGTATAATGTCAAAGTAAATAAACAAAAATGTAAGTTCTTTCATAAGCAAATTGAATTTTTAGGACACCTTATAGATGAAAAGGGCATTCACCAAACAGAAGACAAAATTAAAGCAATTAAAGCCGCACCGAAACCAAAAACTTTAACTGAATTAAAATCGTATTTAGGACTATTGAATTATTATGGGAAATTTATTCCTATGCTTTCATCAAAATTAAAACTTTTGTATGATCTATGTAAATCAGGAAGTAATGTTACTAAAGATTGGTCAATAGAGTGTGATACTGCTTTTCAATTAAGCAAGGAGTTGATCACGTCAAATAATGTATTAAGAACGGAAATTGAAGTCCCGTTTCATCTAACAAAGTACTACAATATTCATATAGATGTCGCTACAGGAAATACTTTTATAGTAAAAATAGTACGAGTATTTCATTCATACAAATTCCGGCAAAACACACCTAAAAAAAACAGAAAATGCCAGGTGCACGCACACGTGCACGATAATGAGTTGTCCGGCCTATACGTCCATCCCAATCNAAACGTTTCATTGGAAACGTATTTTGGGGAGGACATCTTCGGTTTCTTTTGGGTTACCAGAACGTTGCATGGATTTTTTATGAAACGTTTCAAGAAAAATGGAAACGTTTCTGGAACATGTCAGAAACTGAAAAATTTTTAGTGGGATATTTAAATATTTAAGCTAGCTTAATAGAGCCAGACGTATATTTTTCGGTGCAAACGGCCCTAAAAATGATTTTCCTTAATAGTATTATTTTGTGGCATCACAAATAAGTAATATTGCTGATTTTGAAATTTTGTCCTTTCCTGAACACCCTGTACATACAAATTTAAAATTCTCTGCAACAACCTTATTTTTCACTCGTAAAATTATTTTTTTATTTTATGTCGAAGTAGGCCGACGATTCCACAAACTGAATTTCAAACAAATTTAAAATAAGATCTATGGAAATACAAGTGACAATAAATTTAGTTGAACATAAATAAATTTGTTTGCATTGTTTACGGGCACAAAAATCTTCCAATGAGTGTTATTTATTACAGTTTAAAGCACAGTTATTAACAAGAAATACCATTTCCGTCAACGGATCTACATTTATGTAGCCAATTCGCAAACCAAAATATATAGCGCACATAGATGGCACATGCAGTCGGGTCCGTCTACAGTCACTAGATATGTTATCTATATACTATATAGTAGTGACTGTAGACATTTCTATCCGTAGTGTAGAGTCATTCCATTCCACACGCGACAGCCGTACCATGGCCCGTTCCATGGTACGCGTGGCATGGTACGGATCGTGTGAAATTTGAGCGAATACGCCTGTCTATATTTTTTAATTCATGTGACCGAATAGTGGAAATAAGTTCTGTTTATTTACATTCTTGCGCCAGTTCCCAGTCGTAACAAGATTTTTCAAATTGATTTTTGTGACTTTCTTGACATTTTTTACACATTTGATATAAAATATTAATTTATAAAACAAAATGGAAAGTGGCAGAAATAATAACGCTGACCTAATTATGATTGAAAATATAAATAAACAGACCTTATTTCCACTATTCGGGTCACATTAATAAAAAATATAGATAGGCGTATTCGCTTAAATTTCGGACGATCTGTGGCATGGCACGCGTATATACCATGGAACAGGCCATAGCAGGCTGTCGTGTCTGTCACATACTTTTTGTGCTGATTAAGCAGTTTGGATTGGACTCCCTCTGGTGATATATTCATGAATTTCAACGAAACGAGTAATATTATTTGTTTACTTCTATCAGTTGTATCACAGAGGACCCAATCCTCTGTGGTTGTATGCACAAAACAGAAAAAAGGTTGTATGGTTTCTGTGTTTAAAGTTATTTTTGTGAAGCGTAATTTGTTAATACCTTTAGTTGTTACGAGTAGTGCGTGTTTTGTGAATATACCTAAAGAACTAGATATAACTAAGTAACTAAAGAATTAAAAAACTAGAAAACTAAAGAACTTGTTTGTGCTTTTTATACATAATAAAATAATAAAATCTTAGCTATACAATAACTTAATTGTGTGTACTTTGGAAGTTAGCTTTAGTTAAAGACGAAGAAGTTAAAAATTAAATGTACATTTTATTCTAGTAATTAAAAGCCTAGTATTCTGACTGACGGATAATATAGGTGCTTCCTTTTTTTATAATTATCACCTTTGATTTTCGAAAACTACTTCTGCCTTCTTATTTTATTCTTTGTTATTGTTTCCCTGTATCAATAAGTACCTAATTAAAAAGTAGTTAATATTTAAATCAAATAATAATTATCTAAGTAGGCGGAAGTTGTTTTTGAAAACCAAATGTCAAAATTAATGAAACAAAATAATTATTATCCGTCAGTCAGAACCTACTAGAGGATTTTGAAATACGCCTTTTAATAATTTAGCGAGTTACAGGGAATCATTTTTTATTTTTTTGCTCGAAAACGGCCGCAGATAGGAAAAAATTGCAAGAGACAAAAAGTTTCTGAACTGAATAAGAAATTAAACCCTAGTACTATAAAAGACCAGTGGCGCACTGGAAGAAAGTTTTGGGGGTTGAAAGAGACCCGACCCAAGAAAAAGTATCACCCTGTAGATCGCGACAACTATTTCACAAGTCTAATCATGCAGGTAATCTAAGGTTCAAATTTGAGCTACATATTTCAAAAATTGGGATATACAAAGAAAAAAACAGAGAAATTAGTTTTATTTAAAATGTGTAAGTAAAATACAATCGTTTTCATTTTTTCTTAATTCTCTCCAACGTCCATTGCACGAAATAAGAAACGTCCGTATAAACAGCAGGGCCTTGTCCGCAAGCTCTTAATCCGTAGGACACGACTCCAATTAAATGTGCCCTATCCTGTTTATTCTTAGTCATAGCCTTAAAGACTGGCCCACCGGAGTCCCCAGCACAAGAATCCTTACCTAGAAGAAACAGCTTTAAAATCTAAACAGGTTTAGTGCAGCATGTATCAGATTTTCGACAATTATGACAATTTACCTTTTTGGTATCCTATACAAAGCTGACTGTCTATTAATTCACGATGATATAATTCATTGCAAGGCTTTGCATCTAATATAGGGGCAGTTATGTACATTAATCTCGTCGCGTATTGCGTGAATTCTGTTCTATTTATTATACCCCATCCTGCTATATACACATGTTCTGACTTTAGATCTTCGTGTGGTATTGGAGCAGGTGGTAGACAGATTGGATGGACAAAGTCTAAAACAATTAATGTGTATACACAAAGTGGTAAATCGTGAGCAAATGATTTAAGTTTATTTTCCTTCCTAGGTACGACTAGAAATTACTACAGATTCTTGAAATAGAAGTAGTGTGCTATAATCTGTAGTAGTTCACATTAATAATTACCATTAAATTCCACAGGCTTCTCCAGTTCCAACAGGGCGTAATCGTACGTGTGACTTGTAGAGGAGTAAAGGTCGTGTTTGATGTAATTCTCTATTTTTATATCTTGAGGCTTTGGAGCACATGTATCGTTACAGTCTGGGTCCGTGTCTAAGTAGTTCTCTCCCAGTCTGACCCTAGAATTTTATAAATTGCTGTTTTATTAAAATTGATTGAGGATGGTACACGAAAACCTATAAAGCAGCTAAAACCTACAAATTGGAAGATCTTTTGTTGGAGTCTTCACTGGCAACTATGCTATAATGAGTTTGATAAACACGCTGGCGTAATGGGTGGTGGATGGACCAGATTTTTGGGGGAAGTTTTCAGGGAAATAATCTACATGCAGGTAGGTAGGTACATCAAGTGTATTTACAAACCCAACAAATTTTATTTTTTACACTTTTTTGACATTTACTGTACTTTTTAACATGGAATATACTGACTATAATGTCGAAGGTTTAATTTTATTATTTTTATGTTCGAAATATGTCAGTAATTTTTGAATTTTCTTCGAACTACACCACCCGCACCCTTTGAATTCATTGTAGGCAATGTGGTACTGTCTCGACGATTTTTTGGGGATTGACTGTGAAATAGCACTTTGTGCCGCTTCCAATACTTCCCCTGATGGTAAATGCTCGTCTTCACTTTCCGAGCTCATTTTGAATTAAACACTCTTAGACCTCTTTTATGCACGCGTTTTTCTCCTCTCAACGCGGAGTTGACAAAAACGCCGCGTTTCAAGATACCCTGAATAGAGTTACTACGTTTATGCATTTTACGCTCGTTTATTTGCTCTCGCGTTTTCAATTCTGTCGCGATGGATTTACAGAACGCTTGGCGACACGCGTTCCGAAAAAGCACGAAAGTATATCGGCGTTTTTATGCAAGGCGCTCTTTGTCGCAAGTCCAGTGGCTCTGTCTGTCAAGAATAGTTTTAGCACAGTTTGTTTTNTCACTGGCAACTATGCTATAATGACCATGAGTTTGATAAACACGCTGGCGTAATGGGTGGTGGATGGACCAGATTTTTGGGGGAAGTTTTCAGGGAAATAATCTACATACAGGTAGGTAGGTACATCAAGTGTATTTACAAACCCATCAAACTTTATTTTTTTTAATTATCAATAATTTTATTTATTATATCTATGTAAACGTCACTTTCCCAAGAAATTTCTGGACTTTTTCGGACAGGATCCGACTGATTTGCTTTTCGAATATATTAGTTTTGGAAATTTTCAGATATTTACACTTTTTTGACATTTACTGTACTTTTTAACATGGAATATACTGACTATAACGTCGAAGGTTTAATTTTATTATTTTTGTTCGAAATATGTCAGTAATTTTTGAATTTTCTTCGAACTACACCACCCGCACCCTTTGAATTCATTGTAGGCAATCTGGTACTGTCTCGACGATTTTTTGGGGATTGACTTTGAAACAGCACTTTGTGCCGCTTCCAATACTTCCCCTGGTAAATGCTCGTCTTCACTTTCTGAGCTCATTTTGAATTAAACACTTAGAATATGAATTACAATATACAGGGCTGGAAAATCCACATGGTCCATCTGCCTTTACATGAGAGCCATTATTCCATGGCTAGAAATTGGCCTCAATGATTTGGGATCGAGGGGGATTATTCCTCTTTATCCTGCCTCATCTCGTGTAGGCCTGGACAGCCTTCGTAGGTGGGCCCCATCCGTCGTCTACCCCGACCGCAAATGCGGCCGGTGTAGGCGCTTTGTGGGACCTCCTTTTGTCCTGGCTGGGCCCCGCCGGCTAGGGCCCTTTCTTCTGGCGCTCTTCTTGCTTCGCCGGCTCGTCTGTGTAAACCCCGGGGGTAGTGTCATGTTTATGTGTGGTATGGTTGGGTAGGGTAGTGCGGCTATGCAGCCTGGGATGCGCTTTGCTAAGGTGGCCCTTAGGCTAGCGCGGGAGGGGAGGG